TACTATACATGTTTACCTTTTTTAAATATTACATCAATAACTTTATTTATATATTTATCTACATTATTGCTCGCGTTTGACATATGGTAAATACATAAAGATAAAACAAAACATAGTTTTTTAAATGCTACGTCATTGACTATATATTATTTTTGACATAAACGTAATTGTAAACGTGCGGTTTTTTTCGTATGCGGTATTATCTATATCGACGCGTTTTACTTTTAAGAGTTCGTAATTCAGAATATTTTTTATATCTCTTTCACAACCTATAGATAATATTGTTACGGGGTTAAGTGACCTGTGTCCCACAGTGACCTACACAATAATAATTGATAGATCCTGTTGACAATCCTATGGTAACCCAAGGTGCTTCATTTATTTTCTTCTTGGTGTAACGTTGTGGGTAAATGTAAGTAAAAAGATTGTGTTTTAGGTATAATTGTATGATCATGATACTAAATGTGAATGTTTTATGTAGCAGGTTTGTTTCCATTTCTTAAAAATATATAAAACAATGAAGTGCTCTAACACTATGCTCTCACACAATGCTCTATCAATGACCTTGTCTTGTTTGGATTATTCATGTAAGATTATTTCAACTTTCTTGTACAATTATATGTACCAAACAAGTATTAAGACCTCAGTTTTAAAATCGTGTACCTTAAAACAGAAATCATTATTTCAATATGCTAATAATACCATTGTCATCTGATCTGACGTCAAAACACTTACTTATTTTCTTGATTTGGTCTGTGTAGGGATTGGTGTGGGAATCGGCGCAAAGGTTGGCGAGAACATTTTTTCTGACTGCAGGATTTTGATTCGAGGATGGAGCAGACGATATTTTCTTTATCAGAGGTCTCCATGTCGAAAGTAATCGGATGCCGTCATGTCTTTTATTAAGACAATTTGGCATTTTGTTTTTTTCAATTTCTAGTATTTTTCGGATAATTCTTGGTTTATCGAAGCGGATGGGGGCTATGGTTCTCAAGTTTTCAAAATCAATTATGTGACCTGTATAAAGATGGTGTTCACCCAGAACTGAAATTGAATTGGAAATGCGAAAATAAATGGAATGTTTATCAATCGTTTTTTGGATTCTATTATTTGTTTGGCCTATATAAGATCTGAGACAGTCTGCACAAGGAATTTCATAAACTCCGTGTTGTTCCTTTGGAGTGTTGTCTTTGATTGAATGGACAAGAGATAAAAGTTTTTGTTGGGGGGTAAATATTGTCTATATTCCTCTTGATTTAAAATTGTTGACGAAATTGTCCGTGACACATTTGATGTAACTAAGAAAAGCTTTCGTGTGATGTGGTGTCTGAGTCTTTGGGTTCAGATTGAGTGGGAGATTTATGTCTGTTGATGCTCCTATTGATGTGATTTTCGTGGTAAAAATTTTGGATAACAGCTTGCTTTAAACTAGGGATCTCAGCGGGTCTACTTGCATCATCGCAAAGGCATATTGGTCTGAAGACAAGGGTATTAATGACTAAATTAATTTGTGAAGGTGGATGATGCGAGTTGGCATGCAGGTAACGATTGGTATTGGTGGGTTTTCGATAAACAGAGTGATGAAAACCTTGGGATTGGAAAACCATAGTGTGAATAGTATTAATCTTAAACTCACCAGTCTTTCGGATTAAACCCAGTTTCGTCGATTATCATTGCGCCGAGCTTTCGACATACTCTTGTATGATGTCTTCTTCAGGGCTTCCGAGGCTTCAGTCTCCCGAGCCCCCAGACACTACTACACTGATCACTAATCAAAGCATTACTGATTTTCAGAGACAGTTAACCATATTTCGCGTGATTGTGGGACATTATACGGTAAGGGACATTACTTTCTGAAGACATTATGGAAACTGCAAAAATATAGTATCCATAAATTTCACCCATACTGGAACCCCATTGGATTCCAGAAATCTTAAATGTGTATCATCAATAAATAGAAGACGTACGATAAACCATGTGAGTGCAGTATTAACAGTGTATGTATAACGGACGGCTTCCAGAAAAGATAAAACCATGATCTTTTTGAGAACTTCTTGTTAATATCCTTAAGAATCTATGCTTTCTCTACTTCCATTTTGTGAGGAATGAATTTTCTAAATAAAAATATTGAGTAACCGGAAATTTTCTAAGCAAATAACAGTTTTGAAATTTGTTACAGAAAAAAATTCAATAAATTGAAAGAATTACAAATACCGAATTACTCTGTCTAATCTGCAAAAGGACTATCAATTCGTAAAATCAATTGAAGTAGAAAAAGTATTTTGGTCAAAGTATCAGAAAAGATAATATTTAGAATTTCTGCCTACTCTCTCTAAGAAACAATAGAGAACGGTACAATTGAATATTAGGAAATTGTTTCAGTTCGGCCGCTACTAAAATAGTAAGATTAATAATAAGATCCATAAGAGACAATGGAGAATAAAAAGAATCACACGATTGTTCACACAATCACACAACATCCAGATAAGTAAGAAAATTGTTGAAGATACCCCGGCATATCAGGCCACCTTGGACTTGATAAAACAGAAAAAAAGTCTCACACGAGCTCAATCCGTTTGATACCGTAGGTATTAGGGATTAGAAGTAGATAGAGCGCATGGTTTAAATCTGGATAAGATTGAGATCCTCTGGTGCAAAACGAGAAATGCCGATATGGATGTCAAGCTCTAGAAACCGTTCACCGTAGTAACGGAGGCTGCGAGGCATCTGTAGAAATGAAATAAAAAGAACGGCATGACTCAGTAGGAAAGATACTAAGACAGTTAATCGACTGTCACATAAAACATTCTAACTAACTAACTTTGACTAACATTCGTCTTTCCATTTCCCTTTCTGTTGTGGCTAGTTTATTCATATTTGTCTTGGTTAATATTTAACTTAGTTTTCCAAATCCTGTCCATGTCAGTCTTGCTCTAGTGATTTCTGTACTTATACCGGTTCTCTTTGTTCAGTTTTAGAATTTGGCCTAGTTAGATATATTCCTGAATTTGTTCTATTTCTCTGACATTTATAGTTATACCTACGTCTGGGATTGTCTGTGTTGATCATTGTTTTTGTTTTTGTCATATTCATTTTAAGGCCGGATGTTTTGGGAGCTGTCTGGGGGTTCCTTTATCATAATTTATAATTCCTCGAATAAGTTCGCTATAATCACGATATCGTGAGCAGATCTGAGGTGGTTTAATTTTTTGCCATTAACGTTGATGCAATATGTTGACCAATATGTAGTTTTGACGAGGTCTTCTAGTACTAGATTAAAAAGCTTTGGATATATTACGTCGCCTTGTCTATATCATCTTTTGATGGGGATGGGATTTGTATTTTCGGCTATTCGTACTATAAAAGTTGCGTTTTCCTATATATTATGTAGTAGTTGCCTGTATCTCGAATATTTTCTACAATTAATAATAACTTGTTCTATAGCCACATCTCAGGCAAGAAATACAGATAGTTGGTACTCATTTGCCTTCTATATCAATGTTCTCATTGTCAGCAGATGGTCTGAGTACTATATCCTTTGCGCAAACCATCCCATTCAACCGGATGGTAATTATCCACTTTGTAAGTCAACATAACAGCAATAATCTGGATTACGTTACAGTTTAAATCTGGATTTGTCTTTCTTTTGTTCGTATCAGTGTGTTAGAAATACTCGGAATGCTTCGAAAATCGGATAAATTTGGCAGTTGTCATGCAATGTTTATGGAGAGTAGTCAAGAAGAAATATTATCAATCATTTTGTTCATTAGTTAACATGTTCTCAAACGCTGTATAATTAATGCATTCCACAAGGAATCTACGTTCCTGCAGTTGGCTGTATACCATATATTAAAAAAATTTTATTAAAAAACCCTTATAAAAGGTATATATTTAAAAACCGTAATGGGCTAGTTATACAAAACGTTTTCGGAATCCATATTCCATCATCAGTGTCTAGGAGTACATGAATGTAAGTTGCTTCCATACAGTCCTTGTAGACACACCGTCTCAGGACTAGCAACTTCAACGTGGAGTCATATGGCGCCATGTTACCTTATCCAATGGTAACTTTAACATCATAACATATTATAAGAAGTATTGTATACCAAATGTAACTAATTATTATTTGTTAACGGGTTTTTACCCATATATTTAGTGGCTACATTCATGTACTCCTAGACACTGATGATGGAATATGGATTCCGAAAACGTTTTGTATAACTAGCCCGTTAGGGTTTTTAAATATATACCTTTTATAAAGGTTTTTTAATAAAAATTAATGAACGCATTATTAAGATTTTATTCAAATTTCGTTTCGTTTTCTAATAACCAACATCTTTAAAGTACATTTTTATCGAATAAAAAATTATTATCAATAAAACAAAAACTTCCACAAAATGTATTATAGAATTTTATCACTACAGCTGTTTCCGCAGAGTGCCTTTCTGTGAGAAATTAATAAACAGTTCTAATTCTGAAAGACAAACAGTTCTCCCCCCTTAACCTATTTAGTTAAAGTCTATAAAGTGTAAACGCATGCCAAAAATAGATCACTTGAGAAAGGCACTCTGCCGAAACAGCTGTAGTGATAAAATTTTATAATAAAAGTTGTGGAAGTTTTGAAAACACAGTTTTCAGTGTTTTATTGTTATATAAAATGAATTTCCATCAAGTAACGGTCGAATCCATCACTTAAAATCATCAATAAAAAATTATTACAGTCGCACCTAATCATATTTTTTATTTATTATCAAAAGTTAAAATATATTTTAATTCAAATTTAAGCCACAATCTTGTTTTAATGTTTTAGGTGCCAATACTTTTATTTCCCTTTGCTTTTTCCATTATTTTCGTATCCTACAACATTGTCGGAAATCAATTCGAGTTTACTCCTCCTAAATCTAATAGCCGATATAAAACATATTACCGCCACCGACAATTCAGACACAGACAATAAAAAAACCATTCTGCGATCTCACATTTTGCTCCGTTTTTTCCAGAACAATTAAACTGAAACAATGGCCCCCCCGGGTATCGGGAATTCGGTGGAGATCCGCCCCGAGGCGACAGCGTCGGCAGAGACGAGCAGCAGCAACGGAGTTGCTACATTCCAAAAGGACATCGTCATTTTGGATGGGGGCTTTGCTACTCAATTAGGCTGCCACGTCCAACAACCGATTGATGGAGACGTCCTGTGGAGTTCCAGGTTCTTGGCCACCAATCCAGAGGCTGTTATTGATACTCACTTAGATTTTCTTAGAGGTATGTTTTAATTACATTTGAAAAAAAAACGAACTTAATTAGAAAATAAAGTGAAATTGTATAACTTTTTGTAATGGTACTGTCGTTCCAATATACAAGAATATCATCGTTCTATCGCCTTCTTGAAATAGCTTTGATCATTTAATTGGTTCATCCCTTTAATTTTTGGCTAATTGTTTTATATTTTTACCTAGCTTTTCTTTTTCTCCAGTGCTTATGATATTCCTTCTTAGCGACTGTGTAGGATAATATTATTGCTAATCGAATTCAGGCCTTATTCTGCTTTATTATAGCTTCATTATTATCTTAATTTTTCCTTTTATAGTTTTGATTTGCTTATTACATTTTGTGTGTGATTATCCCCTTCATGTTCCGGTCTGTATTTTAGTCGTATTTATGTTCATTGTATTATATTTAACATTTATTTCTTTTGGCCTAAGAGTGCATACCCACGGTTAGAAACTAATTTTATAAAAAGGATTTTACACAGAGATTATGCTCTATTTTCCAAGAGGCTGATTATATTCAAGGTATGTCTCGGACATATTAAGTATATAATACAAAATAACATAAATATAATACAATATAGTATAATATAATATAATATAATATAATTAATATAATATAATATAATATAATATAATATAATATAATATAATATAATATAATATAATACAGAGTGGCCCAAAAGTCTGGAAACGGCTAATTATCTCGTAAAATGCTAATCATAATTGTACAAAATTTGAGGTACACCCATTTTGGGATACGGAAATTCCATATTTGATATTTACAATGTTGCCAGATTTGCCGTTTTTGTTATATTATTAGTAACTTTTAGGTTTTTCAAATACATCACCCTGTATATTCAGTCATTATTGGAATCTCCTATTCAATACGAGTTCAACCATATGTAACACTTATGATTTTATGTAATCTGGAAGGTCATAAATACATCAAACCGAAGTCTGGCAACGCCTAAATTGTTTCAATACATTTTTTAATACTAACTATTTTCTAATACATTAAAACGTAACAGTTGATAGTTTAGAGTATTTTTTAACATAGTAGTTACGTTATTAAGTGTTCAAAATGTGCTCAATTTGTCAGTTGACAGCACCCTAATCGATGGTAGAAGGCGTCTACCACATTTCTCCATGATTATCTAGAAATTATTCGAGATTCATTGATAATTCGTTGCCTTAGCTCTGCAAGACTTGCTGTTTAAGTTTTGTAAACTGAATTTTTCAAGTATCCCTAATAAAAATAATCTTTAGGATTGAAATCGGGTGAACGTGGAGGCCATTCAATTCTACCTTGTCTACCAATTTATCGTCCAGGAAATATCTCATCTAAATATCGCTGAACATTTACACCAACTATCTGACGTTAAATTTATTTTGACAAAAAATGACCCAATTGAATAAGTAACTACTATATCTTACCATACATTTAATTTTTGTAGTCTTTGAGTATGGTTTTCACGAATTCAGTCTTCAGTGTGAATTTACGTCACACCAGTATCTTAAATTGTGTCGATTTACACTTCCACACAGTGTAAAAGTTGCTTCATCGGAAAAACATATTCTGTTAATGAAATTTTAATAATTTTCAATTTTATCGATCATTACCTCAGTAAACTCTAACCTACGACTAAAGTCATCTTCACTTAATTCTTGCAATAAGTTAATTTTGTATGATTTAAATGTATTTTTACGTAATAAACGTAAATCTGAAGAATGACCTACATCATGTACTTGTGCAACCCTGCTTGGGGATATATGTGGATCTTCAACAAAACTTTGCTTATATCTGAAGTTTTGTTGTCATTGATAACTCGTTTCGTTCAACCTGATCGGTATCTATCTTTTACTTCTCCAGATTCCTCAAATCGCCTTACAGTTTTTGGTACCGTCGTCTTATGAATAGGAAAACGGTTTAGAGAACGGCATTTTAGAGAAGCAATTTAAATTGCGGAACTTTTTGAACCACAACTTCTGTCAATTTTAGTTCATAATTTAAATGGGGAACAAATGTCAAAATCACAGCATTCTCCATTTAAATATTTAAATTTATTAAAATCTACATATTTTGCACTGTTTTATGTATTTAAGATCTTTCAGACTACATAAAATCAAGTGAACATATTGTTGAACTCGTATTGAACAGCTGAACTCGTGTGAAATTCACACTGAATGCGTGAAAACCATACTCAAAGACCACAAAAATTAATGTTGGTGTAAATGTCTAGCGTTATTTAGATGAGATATTTCCCGGAGGATAAATTGGTAGACAAGGTAGAATTGAATGGCCTCCACGTTCACCCGATCTCAATCCTAAAGATTATTTTTATTAGAGATGCTTGAAAAATTCAGTTTACAAAACTTAACCGGCAAATCTTGCATAGCTAAGGCAATGAATTATCGATGAATCTCGAATAATTTCTAGACAATCATGGAGAAATGTGGTAGACGCACTTTACCATCGATTAGAGTGGTGTCAACTCACAAATGGAGCACATTTTGAACACTTAATAACGTAACTATTATGTTAAAAAATATTCTAAACTATCAATTGTTACGTTTTAATGTATTTGAAAATAGATAGTATTAAAAACTGTATTGAAACAATTTAGGCGTTGCCAGACTTCTGTTTTATGTATTTAAGACCTTCCAGACTAGATAAAATCATAAGTATTACATATGGTTGAACTTGTATTTAATATGAGATTCCAATAATGACTAAATATACAGGGTGATGCGTTTGAAAAACCAAAGTTACTAGTAACATAAGAGAAACTGAGAATCTGGCAACATTGCAAATACCAAATATGGAATCTCCGTATCCTAAAATAGGCATATCTCAAATTTTGTATAATTATTTCTAGTAATTTACGAGCTAATTAGTTGTTTCCAGACTTTTGGGCCACTGTGTATAATATAATATAATATAATATAATATAATATAATATAATATAATATAATATAATATAATATATTATAATATAATATAATATAATATAATATAATATAATATAATATAATATAATATAATATAATATAATATAATATAATATAATATAATATAATATAATATAATATAATATAATATAATATAATATAATATAATATAATATAATATAATATAATATAAGTAGCAAATAAAATGGCCCAGTTGTCATAAAAAAGATTTGATCCCTAAAAATGAAACGAAGAACCTGAATTTTGCTGATAATATCAATTTTGGGACGCCCAAAAAAAAGCAAATATATATATTACAGTAGCTGGTACAGTAAACTAGCCCGAAGCTTTATACTATGTTTTCTATATTTTTAAAATTTAGATGATATTTTTAAATAAAATTTATAAAAAATATATATATTCAGAGATTCTACAGTATTCACTGCCTTCCCTTGCCCAACCGTTTCCATCTCTCTCGGTTGTCCCATTCTCCATCGTTTAGGCCTCTCTTACTTATAGCGTCGTCTACTTGGTTCCTCCAGGATTTTCGAGGTCGTCCTCTTTTTTTCTTCCTATGGAGCTCCATTCGGTTATTCTTTTTATCCATCTGATGTCTCTAGTTCTTCTTACATGTCCATACCACTTTAGTCTTTTTTGTTCTATATATATTAGCATCTGTGTTAGCTGTACTTCTCGTATCCGTTCTTGTTACTCTGCTGCATCTTCGCAGGCATTCCATCTCTGTTGCTACTGTCTTGCTGCTGTTTTTCTTTGTTTATAATCCAATTTTCAGCCCCATGTCATAATACTTCTTCGCACTAATGTATTATAAATCTGTGTTTTTATCTTCATATTTAGGTGTCTATCCCACAATACTGAGTTAAGTTTTTGGATTGCTGTCCTTGTTTGTCCTAATCTTTGCTTAATTTCTTCCTCTGTTGTTGCCTTTTTCGTGATAATGAACCCCAAGTATTTGAATTTATCCTTTCCTTTGATTGTTACGTTGCCGTCAATCTGTAGATCTTCTATGTCTTCTTCACTTGTAAATAGTGTAGCGAGATTAAATAAAACTAGCAGTTCGAATTTATATAACTATATTTATTTATAAGTTTACAGTTCGGTACTCTTTTATCAACTAAAACTCACTTATAACATCGTTACATATTATACTAAAAGTATTATTCTATAATTATCTAAAGTAGTCCCACCTTTAATTCGTTGTTTGACGGATGGATTTTCTTGAGTTCGAAACAGTTGTGGATGATTCTCGATGTCGTTTCGAGATACAACTGTTACATGGGCCATGCCGAAAGCATGTTCGTAAAAATAGGTACTCTATTTTCGCGAGCTTAATATCTAGGCCAGCCTTGGTATATTCTGCCCTGGTAAGCTGATAGATCCTATCTACCAATTGTGGTATTTTGTATGAACTGTGATGATATCGAACTGTAATTTTGAATGAACTTAATTTGTGTATATAGAATTTATGGGATAATCCAAGGGAGTTTTCATGGATAAAACGGTTTAACTTAGTATTTTATTAAAAATCTCAGATAGACCAAGATTTTTTTTATAACGACCTTTTATTGCACTTATAACGAGACATTTTTTTTACGTTATATTAGTATAGCCCTCTAACGTTGTAAAAAAACTTATAATACTCCATTTTCGTGCTCTTCAGCTACATAATCTACCGGGAATTCTTCCCAAAACTGTCTCTAGTTGGCTGGAGCTAGAATTATAGTTTACAGGTTATTCAACAACTTCTGCGTTCTCTCTTGACTCATTTTTCGGTTGGAGTTTTGTGGAGGTGGAAGTGTCACACCAGTTTTAAATGTACCTGCAGTTAAAAAGTTTAGTTCTTTCAAATCTTCTGTGTCATACGAGTTATTATATTCTGTTTTCTCGCCTGTCGTAAAAATTGCCAGCCAAATATTATTGAGATAGCAGCGAGCTTTGTATATTGAACTGAAATCTGCCCACTCATAGAAATGTCTATTCTCTAATGCTACAACATCGGTTTTGTTGAATTTAGAACACATT